TTGAAGGCCTCAAAACCCTAATTTGAATCCTCTAGTTGAAAACTAAGGGAGGAAATTGATAGAAAAGGCTGCAAGGAGTGTATCAGGAAAATAGAAAGGGAGGGAAAAGAAAGGGGAAGAGAGAGAAGGAAGGAGCAAGGGAAGGGAGGGCCAGGAAAAGCGAGGAAAAATAAAAATGTTACCTGACGCGCCTGAGTCAACAGCTCGCGGCACAACTTGTAGACTACAGACTAACACACACGAGGGGAAACAAAAGCATTAAGATCTGCTTCAGCAAATAGGGGGATTTAACAATATCTGCTACCGTAGGCGGGCAGAGATGAGAGGATGAGGTGACTGATGATATGAGTGAAGTGATATGTCCGAAATGCGGATGAGTGAGACCCTTCCCCGTGGGTGGATGAGCAATATTCAGGACCTGACTTCTCGGTGGATGATGTGGGGGGTTGAGAGACTCGGAGATTCTGTACGGTCGGAGCTGCTGCTGCTGCTGCTGCTGCTGCTGCTGCTGCTGCTGCTGTTGCTGCTGCTGCTGCTGCTGCTGCTGCTGCTGTTGTTGCTGCTGCTGCTGCTGCTGCTGTTGCTGCTGCTGCTGCTGCTGCTGCTGCTGCTGCTGCTGCTGCTGCTGCTGCTGCTGCTGCTGCTGCTGCTGCTGCTACTGGTGATAGTGGTGGTGCTGATGCTGCGGCTGTCGCTGTCTGCGGCTGTTGCTGGTGCTTCTGCTGCTGGTGCTACTGCTGCTGTTGCTCTGCAGGAGCTCCCTGCTGCTGTGAGGTGTAGGCAATATCTCCTAGTGGTGACTGGCAAGGCGTCTCAGAGGAGTGACTTAGATGCCACGAGAGAAAGCAACAGCAGGAGGAAGAGTACCAGGGATGAGTGCCACGGCCGAGTGCCTGCTGGATAGAGGACAGACAAGAACATCACAGACGTGGAACTCTAAACACCATGAATAAGTGTAACAAACACATGTCAGTGCTCAGTAATAATAACTCACATGGAGACACAAACACAGATTAATTGATTTGTATATTTCGATCCCCTTCTAGGTTCCTCCTTAGCATCTGCTGAAGAGGACCTCAGAAGGGAGTCAAAATATACAGATCAATTTATCTCTAAACATTATGTTTGCTACATTAGCTGGTGTAGTAAACATTGACAAATTAACACAAGGGCCAAAAGGAGAGTTTTCCCCTCATGGCCCCATGAGTTAGGGGCCCAGATATTAGGAACCTCAGGTATGAGGACACCTAGCATTTATTTTATTTAAAAGAAAATGACCTTAAATGGCCTTCAATTATTTTCAGATTCAGTAAGTCATTTTATTATGATTTTTTTTAATTGGGAAGGGCGCAACTCTCCAGACCTAAGTTCCTCACCTACGCAGCCCCTGCCTCCTAACCTACGCCAGCACCTAAGTTCCTACATTATGCCGCACCAAATGTTCCTACCTACGCCCCGGCCTTACCCTCGCCAGAACCTTCCTCTCTATACTAGGCCAGCACCTACATCCTTGACCTACAGTCAGTACTTGGGTCCCTACACCTTACGCCAGACCTAATAAAAATTTAGCACCTACGCCTCCTCCCCTAACCTAAAAAGCATTATCTTCTCCTTCTCCTACACCAGAATTACGTTCCTACCTACGCGCCCTATTTGCCTTCTTGCACTACCTCGTGCAGACCTGTGCCGGTGACTGAGGCCTGGTTGGCCGGATTTACCAGAAAATACTCCCGTGGTATACAGATATATACCAATATCTCTGAGACGCACTCACCGCAGTTCTCCTTCCTCCAGGAGGCGCTGACGCAGGAGGAACCCCAAGCCGCAGCTTTCGAAGTGGTTCAGCCCTGTCGTCTGTCTGGTCAAACTGCGGCTCCAGCCTTCCGGGGATCCTGCGGAATTTTTTTAATTATAGAGGATACGCAGGGATTAGCGAGCCTCCCACATGTTTTTAGATGTAATTATGGTACTAACCTTGGTAATAGTACCACAAATTAATTTAAAAAGGGACTTCAGCAAACTATTTATAATAACGTTTCGGCCCCAGGACCGATTTTAATATGTCCAGTGTTTACTTACTGTCTTCTAAGTCAGTTATTGAAATAGTTTCGACATCTCTGGTCAGTCCAAATTTTAAATCAAAATATAACAAGGCCGAAAGATAAGAATCTTGCTCTTAAAATAACTTGATGTATATCACCTAGAGTGCTAGGTAGATATATCTAGCAGTGATAGGCTAGATATCACCTAGCAGTTCTAGGTTTAGATATCATCTAGCAGTGCTAGGCTAGATATCACCTAGCAGTGCTAGGCTAGATATCACCTAGCAGTCTAGGCTAGATATCACCTGAGTGCTGGCTAGATATCATCTAGCAGTGCTAGGCTAGATATCACCTAGCAGTGCTTGGGTGATACAACCTGCAGTGCTAGGCTAGATATCACCTAGCAGTGAAAAGGTTTAGATATCACCTAGCAGGGGCTAGGCTAGATATCACCTGGGATGCTAGGCAGATATCATCTAGCAGTGCTAGGCTAGATATCCCCTAGAGTGCTAGGCTAGATATCACCTAGCAGTGTGGGCTAGATATCACCCAGCAGGCCTAGGCTAGATATCCCCCTAGCAGTGCTAGGCTAGATATCACCTAGCAGTGCTAGGCTAGATATCACCCAGCAGTGCTAGGCTAGATATCACCCAGCAGTGCTAGGCTAGATATCACCTAGCAGTGCTAGGCTAGATATCACCTAGCAGTGCTAGGCTAGATATCACCTAGCATTTGCTAGGTTTAGATATCACTAGCAGTTGCTAGGTAGATATCACCCAACAGTTGCTTGGCTAGATATACCCAGCAGTGCTAGGCTAGATATCACTAGAGTGCTAGGCTAGATATCACCTAGCATTTGCTAGGCTAGATATCCCCTAGAGTGTTTAGGCTAGATATCACCTAGCAGTGCTAGGCTAGATATCACCTAGCAGTGCTAGGCTAGATATCACCTAACAGTGCTAGGCTAGATATCACCAAGCAGTGCTAGGCTAGATATCACCCAGCAGTGCTAGGCTAGATATCACCCAGCAGTGCTAGGCTAGATATCACCTGCAGTGTAGGCTAGATATCACCTAGCAGTGCTAGGTTAGATATCACTAGAGTGCTAGGGCTAGATATCATCTAGCAGTGCTGGGGCTAGTTATCACCTAGCAGTGCTAGGCTAGATATCACCTAGCAGTGCTAGGCTAGATATCACCTAGCAGTGCTAGGCTAGATATCACCTAGCAGTGCTAGGCTAGATATCACCTAGAGTGCTAGGCTAGATATCATCTAGCAGTGCTAGGCTAGATATCACCTAGCAGTGCTAGGCTAGATATCCCCTTTAGCAGTGCTAGGCTAGATATCACCCAGCAGTGCTGGCTAGATTCACCTAGCAGTGCTAGGCTAGATATCACCTGCAGTGCTAGGCTAGATATCACCCAGCAGTGGCCTAGGCTAGATATCACCCAGCAGTGCTAGGCTAGATATCACCTAGCAGTGCTAGGCTAGATATCACCTAGCAGTGCTAGGCTAGATATCACCTAGCAGTGCTAGGCTAGATATCACCTACAGTGCTAGGTAGATTTTCCCCCAACAGTGCTAGGCTAGATATCACCCAGCATTTGCTGGGCTGTATCCCTAGATTGTAGGTGATATCACCAGCAGTGCTAGGCTAGATACTCACCAGAGTGTAGGCTAGATATCACCTAGCAGTGCTGGCTAGATATCACCTAGCAGTGCTAGGCTAGATATCACCTAACAGTGCTAGGCTAGTTTATCACCAAGCAGTGGCTAGGCTAGATATCACCCAGCAGTGCTAGGCTAGATATCACCCAGCGTGCTAGGCTAGATATCACCCAGCAGTGCTAGACTAGATATCACCCTAGTAGTGTGGCTGGGATAATCACCTAGAGTGCTGGCTAGATATCACTAGCAGTGTAGGCTAGATATCACCAACAGTGCTAGGCTAGATATCACCCAGCAGTGCTAGGCTAGATATCACCAGCAGTGCTAGGCTAGAATACCCTAGCGTGTAGGCTAGATATCACCTAACAGTGCTAGGCTAGATATCACCCAGCAGTGTTTAGGCTGATATCACCTAACAGTGCTAGGCTAGATATCACAGCAGTGCTAGGCTAGATATCACCTAGCAGTGCTTAGGTTTGTATCACCCAGCAGTGCTAGGCTAGATATCCCCAACAGTGCTAGGCTAGATATCACCCAGCAGTGCTAGGTCTAATATCACCTAGCAGTGCTAGGTAGATATCCCCAGCAGTGCTAGGCTAGATATCACCTAGCAGTGCTAGGCTAGATATCACCCAGCAGTGCTAGGCTAGATATCACCCAGCAGTGCTAGGCTAGATATCACCTAGCAGTGCTAGGCTAGATATCACCCAGCAGTGCTAGGCTAGATATCACCCAGCAGTGCTAGGCTAGATATCACCAGGAGTGCACTAGGCTAGATATCACCTAGCATTTGCTAGGCTAGAATCACCTAGCAGTGTAGGCTAGATATCACCTAGCAGTGCTAGGCTAGATATCACCCAGCGTGCTAGGCTAAAATATCACCTAACAGTGCTAGGTTTAGATATCACCCGCAGTGCTAGGCTAGATATCACCCAGCAGTGCTAGGCTAGATATCACCTAAGAGTGCTAGGCTAGATATCACCCAGCAGTGCTAGGCTAGATATCACCTAGCAGTGCTAGGCTAGATATCACCAGCAGTGCTAGGGTAGATTCACCTAGCAGTGCTAGGTAGATACACCCAGCAGTGTAGGCTAGATATCACCCAGCAGTGCTAGGCTAGAGTATCACCCAGCAGTGCTCTAGCTAGAAATCATCTAGCGGTGCTTAGGCTAGATATCACCTAACAGTGATAGGTAGATATCCCAGCAGTGCTAGGTTTAGATATCACCTAACAGTGCTAGGCTAGATTCACCTAGCAGTGCTAGGCTAGATATCACCTAGCGTGCTAGGCTAGATATCCCCCCAGCAGTGCTAGGCTAGATATCACCCAAAAAGCATGCTAGGCTAGATATCCCAGCAGTGTGGTTTATATCCCCTAGCAGTGCTAGGCTAGTATCAAGCATTCTAGGCTGATTCACTGCAGGCTAGGCTAGATATCCCCCAGAGTGCTAGGCTAGATATCACCCAGCAGTGCTAGGCTAGTATCACCTAGCAGGCTAGGCTAGAATCCCCCAGCAGTGCTAGGCTAAGATATCACCTAGCAGTGCTTAGGCTAGATATCCCTAACAGTGCTAGGCTAGCTATCACCAAGCGTGCTAGGCTAGATATCACCCAGCAGGGGCTAGGCTAGATATCCCCCAGCAGTGCTAGGTAGATATCACCTAGCGTGCTAGGCTAGATATCACCCTAGCAGTGCTAGGCTAGATATCACCTAGAGGCTAGGTAGATATCATCTAGCAGTGCTAGGCTAGATATCACCTAGCAGTGCTAGGCTAGATATCACTAGCAGTGCTAGGCTAGATATCACCTAGCAGTGCTAGGCTAGATATCACCTAGCAGTGCTAGGCTAGATATCACCTAGAGTGCTAGGCTAGATATCATCTAGCAGTGCTAGGCTAGATATCACCTAGCAGTGCTAGGCTAGATATCACCTAGCAGTGCTAGGCTAGATATCACCCAGCAGTGCTAGGCTAGATATCACCCAGCAGTGCTAGGCTAGATATCACTAGCAGTGTTTGGGCTAGATATCACCAGCAGTGTTTGGCTAGATATCACCTAGCAGTGCTAGGCAGTATCACTAGCGTGTAGGCTGATATCACCCAACAGTGCTAGGCTAGATATCACCCAGCAGTGCTAGGCTAGATATCACTGAGTGTAGGCTAGATATCACCTAGCAGTGCTAGGCTAGTTTATCACCTAGAGTGTTGGCTAGATATCACCTAGCAGTGTCTGGGGCTAGTTTATCACCTAGCGTGCTAGGCTAGATCACTAACGGCTAGGCTAGATATCACCAAGCAGTGCTAGGTAAAATATCACCCAGCAGTGCTAGGCTAGATATCACCCAGCAGTGCTAGGCTAGATATCACCCAGCAGTGCTAGACTGATATCACCCAGCAGGCTAGGCTAGAAAATCACCTGAGTGCTAGCTAATCACCTAACAGTGCTAGGCTAGAAAATCACCCAGCAGTGCTAGGCTAGATATCACCTACAGTGCTAGGCTAGATATCCACCTAGCAGTGCTAGGTTTAGATATCACCTAGCTTTTGCTAGGCTAGATATCACCAAGCAGTGCTAGGCTAGATATCCCCAAACCCAGTGTTTAGGCTAGATATCACCAGCAGTGCTAGGCTATTTTCACCTAGCAGTGCTAGGCTAGATATCACCAGCATGTAGGCTAGATTTCACCTACCCAGTGCTAGCTAGTATCACCCAGCAGTGCTGGCCCTTAGATATCACCCAGCAGTGCTAGGCTAGATATCACCCAGCAGTGCTAGGCTGTTATCACCAGGAGTGCTAGGCTAGTATCACCTAGCAGTGCTAGGCTAGATATCACCTAGCAAGTGCTAGGCTAGATATCACCTAGCAGTGCTAGGCTAGATATACCAGCAGTGCTAACTAGATATCACCCTAACAGTGCTAGGCTAGATATCACCCAGCAGTGCTAGGTAGATATCACCCAGCAGTGTTTGGCTTGATTCACCTAACAGTGCTAGGCTAGATATCACCAGCAGTCCCTAGGCTAGATATCACCTAGCAGTGTAGGCTAGATATCACCAAGCAGTGCTAGGGTAGATATCACCTAGCAGTGCTAGGCTAGTTTATCACCAGCAGTGCTAGGCTAGATATCACCCAGCAGTGCTAGGCTAGATATCACCCAGCAGTGCTAGGCTAAGAAATAAACC